GCCGTATTAGTAGTAGTAGACGTTGCAGTAGTAGTAGATATTGTGGTAGTAGTAGTATCAGTGGTAGTAGTTGTCGTAGTAGTAGACGTTGTTGTAGCAGTATCCATAGTAGTAGATGTTGTTGTAGTAGTATCAGTAGTAGTAGACATTGTTGTAGTAGTAGTAGTCATTGTGATCCTAATTTGTGTACCTCTTGCATAATATAATATAAAATAATAATAATTTTTGTGCATTTATTTACCTTATTTAACCCAACACACTTGAAAACTTCATTTCTCAGCAGATTTGCTGTCTATTACTGTTAAAAGTCAGCAGTCATTGGGCTATTGATGATTAAAGATCCTATGGAGTGCTTTGAAAATTCCCTTTTTTTTATCAGATCTCACAACTGAAATGAAGATTCAGAAGTGGCTGACACACACAATATGTACATTTCTCTGTCCTCTTTTTAATGTCAATCTTTTTGTGTTTCAGACTGCTCTGCGGAGGCGAGGCAGTAGAGAAGCCTTCAAAGATAAGAAGCCTTTATCTCAGGTGTGTACAAATAAACACACAGATCAATTGACCAACTTCATCCTAAAAATTTGTGAAATGTTTGTAAAACAATCCTCAGCATACGTTTGACTGCAGTTTCTATGTAAAATAAACACTAGGGGGCGGTATGACGACATAAACTTTCAATCCTTTTCACACTAATGATATTTACATGTACATATTATTGATAAATAAAGCATTAGTTTGATGCATTTCTTTGCACAACACTAAATAAATACCACAAAACAACTTTTTTAGTGTAGTCTGTTTTCTCCAAAGCTCACTTTGCACACTACCTGACAACAGCCTTGTCGCTTATCCAAGTTTTAGGAACAACAAATAATAACTTGACTTCTAGTTGATCATTTGGTATTAGAAGTGGCTTATGTTAAAGGCAAAGGCCTCTAGATTACGCTTATTTTACCACAATAAAATATGATCATGCCTTGATTTTTAATTCTTTAATTAGGACAGTAAGGCCTGCCTTTCCTTAGACTTAGGAATGCAAAGAAAAAGTTATTGCAGGACTCCCACTGTTCATCAAGATTCTTTGGATTCATCTTCAATGCCTCCTCCTCCATCTTACCCCAGACATGCTCAATAATGTTCATTTCTGGTTACTGGGCTGGCCAATCCTGGAGCACCTTGACCTTCTTTGCTTTCAGGAGCTTTGATGTGGAGGCTGAAGTCTGAGAAGGAGCGCTATCCTGCTGAAAAATTTGCCCTCTCCTGTGGTTTGTAATGTAATGGGCAGCACAAATGTCTTAAAACCTCAGGCTGTTGATGTTGCCATCCACTCTGCAGATCTCTCGCACGCCCCCATACTGAATGTAACCCCAAACCATGATTTTTCCTTCACCAAACTTGACTGATTTCATTGAGAATCTTGGGTCCATGTGGGTTCCAGTAGGTCTTCTGCAGTATTTGTGATGATTGGGATCCAGTTCAACAGATGAGTCATCAGACAAATCCTCCTTCTGACACTTTTTCAAATGATCAACTAGAAGTCAAGTTATTATTTGTTGCTCTTCCGACTGGGATCCACAACAAGATTATTGTCAGGTAGCGTACAGTGTGAGTGCAGAGCGCTCAGGTTTAAGTCTGGTGAGGCATACGTTCACAAATGATATAAATGCAATGTTAAAACAAGGTAATACTATGTGGTCACAGTGAACTCTTAGGGTTGCTTTTTGAAAACACTATTGGTTGGGTTTTGGAAAAGGTTTAAGTTTGTTGGTCTAGGTCAGGGGTGCCCGAACTCGGTCCAGGAAGGCTGGCGTCCTGCATAGTTTAGCTCCAACTTCCTCCATCACACCTGCCTTAGTTGATTAGCTAGTCCAGGTGTGTCTAATTGGGAATGGAACTAAACTCTGCAGTACACCGGCCCTCCAGAAACAAGTTTGAGCACCCCTGGTCTAGGTGATCTGTAAGACAAGCATTGTATAGTTTAACATGAAGAGCGTGCATCGGAAACATTTAACAAAATATACCCCAAGTAACGTATTTCAGATTCGCAAAAATGTAGACAGCGCCCTCTAGTGGATTTGTCATCTGAAACATACAACAAAACAGTATGTTAAGTTTTTGCCAAAAATTGTAGGCTGAAGGACATTTTTTCAAATCAGGCTGGGTTGCAAATTACACACCTTGCAGGACAACACAATATATTACATCATAGTATTTGGCTATTTTTAAAATTCTTGATATCACCTTTAGATTCAATCAAATCTTTTTTCTCCAGGAGGACAGTGCAGATCTGCGCTGTCAGCTACAGTTTGCCAAGGAGGAATCGACTCTCATGCGTAAAAAGATGGCCAAACTTGGCCGCGAGAAGGATGAACTGGAACAAGAATTGCAGAAGTATAAATCAGTGTACGGCGACGTGGACAGCCCTTTGCCTTTAGCGGAGGTGACCGGCGGAGGCCCACACACCACACGCGAAGCTGAGCTACGACTACGACTTAAACTAGTAGAAGAAGAAGCAAACATCCTGGGGAGGAAGATTGTGGAGCTGGAAGTTGAAAACCGCGGTCTCAGAGCGGAAAATGAAGACTTGCGTAGTCAATATGAAAGGGATTGCTTTGGCCGTGAACCCTTCTCCAGCGTCCCTACCTCACCGTTTGGCGGCGATGCGCTTGAGTCTGCGAGTGAACTGCGCAGACATTTGCAGTTTGTGGAGGAAGAAGCTGAGCTCCTGCGGCGCTCCATTTCTGAAATCGAAGATCACAACAAACAGCTAACATCCGAGCTCAACCGCTTCAAATTCGGTCCCAATCAATCCGAGCGGGAATCCGAAGGAGCTGAAGGAGGACTCAAAATTGTGAATACCGCAGGTAATGGTTTTTCAAGCAGCACACTTCAGGATGAACTAAAAAACGCAAGACTCCAAGTCAACGAGTTAAGCGGGAAAGTAATGAAGCTTCAATATGAGAATCGGGTGCTAATCTCTAATATGCAGCGCTGTGATTTGGCCGCACACTTGGGAATGCGTACTGGTAGTCCACGGGATAGTGATGTAGACAGCGACGCTGGCCGAAGGGAACCAGATGAAGATGAAACAGCAAGGATATTGCTGCTCCATCCCAAACGTGAAGGTCCTGTTGGCGGAGAGAGCGATTCTGATGATTTATTTGAACGTACGGCTACTTCAGGATTCGCCAGTGGTGAAAAACCTTCAGATTCTGGCGAACTGGGAGTAATCGAATTAGCTCAGCGTAGACGGGAAGACCGGGAAGCGTTTAATAATATCAGAAGGGAAGCTGAGAGGCTCGGGAAAACAGTAGAGCGGCTCATAACGGATACGGATAGTCTTATCCGGGAAGGTCGACTGGTTGTTTTGGGAGGAGATCTTCTTGCGGAGGGTGTGGAATTTAGAGGCGACGGAGACTCAGCTGAATCTAAACAAGACTCTCAGGTGCTGGACTCCATTAATGCACGCATGAGGACTTTCCGAACCGATCTCCAGCAATTCATGGATAAAGTGGAGCATCTAGGGGATGGTTTACGGGATCGGGTTGATGATCTTTCCCCGATGCCTAACCTCACAGAATCTAGCAGCTTCCTTTCTACGGTTACCTCCATGTCCAGGGATTCGCCAATCGGGACACTGGGAAGGGATCTAGTGACGGACTTCCAGGTAAGAGTTTCATGTTTTTCATCTTAATTCAGTGTTTGCATCATATGCGTTCACGTGACATGGCAACTTCCTTTCTTTTCCTTTGCCGCTTCTTCATTTAAAAGTCCCTTTTTGAGAATGCACTCAGTTATTGATTCTGCATCTTCATGTGCCATATTCTGTCAATCCCCACAAAAAAGTCATGAATGCATCACAATTGAGGCTTTCTAAATAATTTTGGCTGGCATGATACTTCGACTTGATTCATAAATATATATATATATACACAGTTGAAACTAGAAGTTTACATACACTCTAAAAAAGGAACATAACCATTTTTTTTAAATGTCTGATGGTAAATCCTACTAAACGTTTAATACTTTAGGTTCGTTAGGATTACCTAAATCATTTACATTTGCTAAATGCCAGTATAAAGAGAGAATTCTTTTTCAAATTTTTTTTTTAAATTTCTAGACATTCAAAAGTTTACAAACATTTCCTTCATATTTTTTTTAGCTTTGCTTTTAAACTGTATAACTTTGGTCAAATGTTTTGGCTATCCTTTCACAAGCTTCTCACAATAGTTTTAAGGAATTTTGGTCCATTCCTCTTGACAGAATTGGTGTAACTGAGTCAGATTTGTAGGCTGTCTTGCTGGCACAAGCTTGTTCAACTCTGCCCACAATTTTTCTATAGGATTGAAATCAGGGCTTTGTGACGGCCACTCCAAAACATTCACACTGTTGTCTTTAAAATACATTTTAACTAATTTGGCAGTATGCTTAGGGTCATGGTCTGCTTGGAAGACCCATTTGTGGCCAAGTTTTAATTTCCTGGCTGATGTCTTGAGATGTTGCTTAAGTATTTCTACATAATGTTCTTTCTTCATGATGCCATCTATGCTGTGAAGTGGACCAGTCCCTCCTGCAGCAAAACAGCCCCACAACATGATGCTGCCGCCCCCATACTTCACAGTTGGGATGGTGTTCCTAGGCTTATTAGCGTTTCCCTTTGTCCTCCAAATGTAACACTGGTCATTATGGCCAAACAGTTCAATCTTAGTTCCATCAGACCACAGGACATGTCTCCAAAAACTATTATTTTTCCCAGTGTGTAATTTAGCACATTATAATCTGGCTATTTTGTTGATTCTGGCTTGTTGATTTTCCCATGTTGTCACAGAAGTTAGCAGTGTGTTTGAGGTTTTTCTTAAATACTAGGCTACAGTTGTGCCTCCAATTAACTCAAATGTTGTCTATTAGATAATCAGAAACTTCCAAAACCTTGACACCAACATCTGAGCTTTTTCAACTGCAGAAAATTCTTATTGTATGTAAACTTGACTTTCAAGAAAAGTTATAACAATTTCGCAAAAAATGTCTCTCATTATTCTTCTATTAAGCATAACAGAAACAACTTTAATAATCCAACTCACCTAAAAGAGAAAAAGTTTAGTCACATTAACATCTGACCTTTTTTTAAATGGTTATGTGCCTTTTTATACAGTGTATGTGAACTTCTGGTTTCAACTGTATGAAAGGCAAAAGAAACTTGGTCACGCTTTATTTTGATGTTTTTTTTTTTATTTTTTATTGAAGTTACATTGCATCTACATGCCAACTAATTCTCAATAGATTATGTGTAGACTGTTAGGTTGGGGTTAGGGTTAGTGTAAGTTGACATGTACTTGCAAAGTTTTTTATAATCAGTTAAATGTCTGTTGAAGGAGCATATCAACAGATATTAAGCAGACAGTCTACTAATACTTGAATAGACCATCAAAATAAAAAGTGTTACCAGAAACTTTCAGGGATAGTGTGAAACTTGTTTCATGGTTTACTCATCCGCATGTTTTTATTCTGTTTTATTTGGAAAACAAAAGTAATGACGGTAATAAAGGTACGTTATGGAGAGGTCTGCTGGGGTTTTTCCATATTATGAAAATTAATGGAATATATAATATAACATATCCCTGTAAATTAAATGTTATTAATGTGTATTTTACATTTATTTACACATATAATTTGATAGTATTAAAGGTACGTTATGGAGGTTTTTATATTTAGTTTTCCATATTTTAAAAATTAATAGAATTTTATATTTTGTAAAAGAAATCTGTATAAATTAAATGTCATTAATGTGTGTTTTACATTTATTTACACTTATAAATTGCAAAATGAGAGCTTAATCTTTGCTATGACATTTTTTTATGTTGAAAAGTGTAACAATATCATGAAAGGGTTGCATAAATCTAATCTACGAATCAAAATTAGATTTTTTATAAAATATAATGATAAATTCAAGCCCATGAGAAGATGAACAGCTTGAAGAAACAACCCAAATGCTTTTCTTACTTATCTTTAGTCCAAAATTAAGTAAGACTAATTTTTAGTCTTATTTTTAGTCCAAATATCTAAAAATTCTTAAACCAAAAAGCATTTTCTAGACAAGCAAAAACATAGGCCCAATCCCAATTCTATGTTTGCACCCCTCCCCTTTGGCCCTTGAAACAGAGTTTGAAGGGGAAGGGCTTCAGAATGACCCCTAAGAAATGGAACAGCACTAAAACACCTGCACATCTTATTAAATGTCATCGCGAGCTCGTACTTCATATGAGATCAGACAATGGCGACTGCTGTAGGAAATCACTGAAGGCAATGATATCATATTATCATAACAATATAATGTGACAATAATATCGTAACTGTATTGTGTATTTACACCATGGCCATATTAATCTATGTAAACACACGAAAACAACATTAACATTATACCAGACACTGTAAAAAGGTAATTCACAGCCACTAGACTTTTCTGAGAGGATCAATGAGTGACAGATGTGAAAGTATGTTGTGGGACTGCTATACAGGAGTTAGTATTATGGATTATAGATAACAAAACTTTGCAAGTTTTTTAAATTGTTTTTTAAAGAATGACGGTAAAACACGAGCGCCGTTATGAAAGTATTAAAACATATGCTTGTTTATTGTAAAAATTCTTAATAATGCCAAAACATACTAAAATCTCCTGACTCACGTGTGCAGCCATTTTGCCATTGTAGCTGGTGTATTTAGGGAAATTTTCGCACCTCTTGGTTTTGAGTGTGGTCCTGCAAAATCTCAGTTTCAAGGGCTATTTAGCCCTTAGCCACATGCCTTCAAGCTAAGAGAATTGGGACAGTTCGAACCACTCACGTAAACTCACAAAATGAAGGGTAAGGGAAAGGGCTAAGGGGTAGAATTAGGATTGTGCCTCAGGGTGTACTCACACTATATACAGTTTGCTTATCATCCCTCCCATCTCCCCTGACGACCCGCACTCACATTATATTCGGGCCTGGGCACGGTTACGTCATCGATGCTGCGCTGTTCAGTAAGCGCTTTCGCTCAGCATATTGGAGATTTCTTCAGTTATATTGTTTAAGTCGTTTGATATGCGATGAAACGCAGTCAAATATTTCGCCGAACAGATCAGCCACTTTTGATGCTCATAAACAATCATAAAGCCCTCGTGCTGCAGGAATTAGGAGGTTTGCCGAAGGTGCAGGTGACATGCAGTGAGGGGTTTGCGTCTTTAATAAACTATGACAGTTTTCGTGCACTGAACAGTAAGAATCAATAATAAATCCATATGAAACAGTCCCTTAAAAGTCACGTTTCGCTTTCAGTTTCGAGCTTAGGCGCGTTTTGCACGCACACACAAGCGTACCACACAAAAGCCCAAGTTCCAGGGCCGGCCAAGTGAACCGTGCCTGAGCCCGATTCAGCACACTCACACTTCTCAAACGATCCGGTAAACTGGCCTGGGCATGGTTCGGATAGCATTGTGTGAGTATGAACTAATATGCCAAAAGTAAGCAAGTTTTTCTTTAAAACAAGCAAAATAATCTGTCAATGGGGTAAGCAAACAAATTTCATGTCAAAAGGGGAAAAAATTATCTGTTTACCCCATTAGAAGATATTATTGCTTGTTTTAAAGGGGTGGTCCACTACGATATCATATTTTAAACTTTAGTTAATGTGTAATGTAGCTGTGTAAACATCAACAATATCTCTGAATGTAAGATGCTCAAAGTTCAATGCAAAGGGAGATCTAGGCTTTTACAGAGTTAGATTAGCAAAGCCTACAGTGAACGAAGTTTGTGGACTACAAAAAATATATCCGGGTCAATGAGATCACAAACCCTTCAGGTTGCACGCATTCACCTCTCGCAGTGAAGGGGCGTGGCCAGAGGCGCTGTTATGTTATAGCAGAGAAAGCTATAATGGTGTCCAAATGCTATTTCCACAGAGCTTCTTCTTTTTCTGTATTTCGGCTTCCAAAGGACACGACACAAAGACAGAAGTGCTTACAATTTAACATTAATTATGTTCCAGAGAATTATACAAAATATATAGCTAGCATTTGACAAAGGACAGCTTCCAGAATCCCTCTCAGTTCAGTGCTGGATTCGGCTAAACACTCCTCAAAGAAGGAGCAGGTCCAACTATAATAGATGAAGCTGTGGGTTGTGAGCCACAACCTGTAAGTATTTTTATTTGTTAAAATTTATCTGCTACATGCATAGTTTCTAGCATTAACGATTTGTTGTAGAAAGGATGTAAACAAAGATGTAAACAACAGGAAACGCTGTTTGGCACTGTTAACAATTTAGCTACAAGTTCATATTTATCCTCCTAACCGCTCTAAACACAGACAATCTGCAGTGTCTCTCTCTGCAGCCGCTTTCCGTACGTTCTGCATCTCAAATAACAAACTCACAAAAGATATGTGAACATTTCATATTACTTAAACATGCTTATAACCCGAATATATATGAAAAACACTTGTCAGACTTTTTTTGTTTTTGATAGTAGGCATGAGATTCAGCTGTGTCCTCTTCATTTTTTGTCTGATTCAGGCTCACACTGACAAAACTAACAGTTACACAGACTGACAGTATTTACACAGCAGAGGCACAGCGCATGCTAGTAGAGGCGTGACACTTTTCCTGGTGACGTGGAGTCGATCCGCTAATCAAA